AAAATGAAGAAAATTTAATCAGACGAAGAAACATTCAAAATATCTTGATCCACAAATCCCCCTATGAATCGTATATGACCGGCCCATCTCAGTTTATTGGCCTTTTTCTTAATAAATTAGCATTTTAAGAATGTGAGAAACCTAAATTTTATAACAAATGAATCTATAAATAAATGCATTGAAATCAAAAACAGAGTTAAAATAAATTAAAATCTATCTATCTATCTATCTATCTATCTATCTATCTATCTATCTATCCCCTCTCTTTTTCTCTCTCTCTCTCTCTCTATATATATATATATATATATATATATATTATTTTAGGATATTATATTAAAACATGTGAATAACCCCAAACAAATGCACACATGTTTCGATGCGTATCAACCCTGATGAGACGTGTTGATACACATTGAAACAGGATTGTATCTGTGTGTAGGGTTATTCACATGTTTTGATATACTATCCTAAAATAAATAATGTTGCTCTATTATTGTATTGAGCTCTCTTTTAAATTAATGTTACGAACGTCGGAATTTATATTTGATTCGTTCTCATTTCATATATATATATATATATATATATATATATATATATATATATATATGTAGCAACGTATGAAGCCCCAAATGCTGACAGTCAATGGGATATTGAGAAAAAAGAGATTTAAGGCAAGCAGTCTTTGCAATAAAGTGCTTGATATCCCAGAGCATTAATCGGATTAATGGGAGTAAAAGATTTGTCACTTTAGCTGATTGATGTTCCCTTCAGCATCCCGACTCCAGAGACCCCCCCCCACCTGAAGAGTAAACATTTTCTTGGTCGGACTACGAATATTTCAGAAATCTCTCTATCGCACACACACACACACACACACACACACACACACACACACACACACACACACACACGCGCAAAGATTCACACACACAGACATACACAGACACACGCAAAGATTCACTCACACATACCATACGCAAAGATTCACACATACACACACACAAAAATTCACACGCACACACATACACACACGCAAATATTCACACACACCATACGAAAAGATTCACACACGCATACACATGCAAAGATTCACACAAACACACTCACACACACGCACACACGCGCGCAAAAACACATATATATATATATATATATATATATATATGGTCTGATGATCATGAAATTCTCGGAAACCATGAACTGTGTCCACACTTTTCATCTATGATATGAAGAAACTGTGATAGATAGAGAGAGAACAAATTTTAAATGACACCCCACACATGGTAAATATACTTTTGAAATATATATATATATATATATATATATATATATATATATATATATATATATAATTCAATGAACATGTCTCTGTCTGTCTGTCTCTCTCTATATATATATATAAGAGAGATAGAGACAGACAGACAGACAGACAGACAGACATGTTCATTGAATAATTTTGGCAAATTTTGTCTACCTATATTCAGTTGGATCTGTTCATATTCAGGGACAAGATTTTTGCTGTAATTATTAAAGAAAGAGAGAAAATTACCGCGTTGATACATAATTTTTTATCCCGAGTACTTTCGGCATTAACGCAATGTCATCAACAGGGTGTTGTTTATTGCAAGTCAAATATTGTAGTGTTCATCATTGTCAATATCTTGTCATTATCTTGAAATAACCAACACACTGATGATGAAATCGTGCTAATGTCGAAAGTACTCGGAATAAAGTGTCTGTGTGTGTTGGTTTTTGTATTTGTTCGAGTATCATAATTATGTTTTTGCTAGTAATTCGGTGTTATTTCACTAGCTATCTAATGTTACTATGAGCCTTACGCCGCTTATAAATGTGTTGTCTGATGGCACTCTGGTTCGATAGGTGGCAGGTGAATCTCCGTGAGGGTGTGGTTGTAGCGTATCTTATGTAAGACTTATACCGGGAGCAAACTATCTGTATACGGATAGAAAATGAATTCAGTGAATACACAGAAATAGAAAAACGCGTAAAAACCAACAGGAACTTATACAGATAGAAGGTGAGAAGAAAAGACTAAATAGTAAGAAGATAGAATGAATGGTTGTCAGCAAAACGAACGACATGACGTGCGAAGTATGAATTGGGGACAACAGAATCAAGCAAGGACAAAAATTTAAATATCCGGGAAGTGTTTTAACAGAAAGCGGAAAATGTGACACTGAAATCCGAAGGCGTATTTGGGATAGCGAAACAAAGCAAAGAGTACTTAACTGTTATGTAATATCAGTCCTTCTATATGGCAATGAATACTGGACAATCTCCTCACAGATGAAGAAGAGACTTGAAGCAAGAGAAACAAAGATATGAGTACTGAACTGTTACATTATATCTGCCCTCCTCTATGGCAATGAATGCTGGACAATCTCCTCACAGATGAAGAAGAGACTTGAAGCAAGAGAAACAAAGAAAAGAGTACTGAACTGTTATGTAATATCAGTCCTTCTATATGGCAATGAATGCTGGACAATCTCCTCACAGATGAAGAAGAGACTTGAAGCAAGAGAAACAAAGATATGAGTACTGAACTGTTACATTATATCTGCCCTCCTCTATGGCAATGAATGCTGGACAATCTCCTCACAGATGAAGAAGAGACTTGAAGCAAAGAGAAACAAAAAAAGATACTGAGCTGTTATGTAATATCAGTCCTTCTATATGGCAATGAATGCTGGACAATCTCCTCACAGATGAAGAAGAGACTTGAAGCAAGAGAAACAAAGATATGAGTACTGAACTGTTACATTATATCTGCCCTCCTCTATGGCAATGAATGCTGGACAATCTCCTCACAGATGAAGAAGAGACTTGAAGCAAGAGAAACAAAGAAAAGAGTACTGAACTGTTATGTAATATCAGTCCTCCTATATGGCAGTGAATGCTGGACAATCCCCTCATAGATGAAGAAGAGACTTGAAGCAAGAGAAACAAAAGAATTGTACTGAACATTTATGTAATACCAGTCTTCCTATATGGCAGTGAACAATGGAAAATCTCACAGATGAAGAAAAAAACCTATGAGAACAGAAATGTAGTTCTACAGAAGGATATTGAGAATACCGTTGACCGAATATGTGAGTAACGACGAAGTTTTAGAGACGATGGAAACCTATATGAAACATCCGAAAAAAATTCTAGGCTACATAATGAGGAAAGAGGGCTTGGAGAATTTGACATCCGTAGGATATATTGAATGCAATATTGAATATATTGATGGACAGAGAAAAATAGAGAATAACCTACTTAAAGAGCCTGTGAAAATGGATGGCAGAATAGGGATTAGGAGAGATCACACAAAAAAAAGACGATGGTTGGTAGAATAGAGGTTAAGAGAGATTGCAAAAGGACAAAACACTAAGAGTGAGAAAGGAAAGAAAATTGTAGAATGTCATGATCACCCCCCCCCGAAGGAAAAGTGAAAATAAAAGTTATCTACCTAATCCGAAATATTAACTTATTCGTTCGAATGATTAGATATATACAGCAAATTACCTGGCTTATGTCAGAGGGTACCCCCAAGACGAGGCTCTGCCGAAGGGAATTTTTGCCCGAGCCTATGGGCTCGGATACCCCATTTTAAACTCGGCCTTGTGGCGCAAAAATTATACAGTAAATTGTGGCGATATCTTTATCGGATCGCTTGCTTATATATATATATATATATATATATATATGCACTAACGTCACAATTTGCTATGCCCCTATATATAGCGATTTTCCAAGCGTAGCTTAGATGTGGCACAAGGACAAAATTAGAGTGCACCGAGTAAGGATCGAACTCACTACTCAGTCGTAACTGTTCTAGCGAGGCAAGCTTGCTAACCATTACACAGCCTCGAGGTGCCCAAAATAAATATATATATATAGTGATTTTCCAAGCGTAGCTTAGATGTGGCACAAGGACGAATTTTTAGAACATTCAGTGAGGATCGAACTCACTACTCAATGCTAACCATTACACCGCCTCGAGGTGCCGAAAGTATGGGGCACCCAGTGAGGATCAAACTCACTATTCAATCGTAATTGTTCTAGCGAGACAAGCTTGTTAACCATTACAACACGTCGAGGTGCCGAAATGATTTACTAAGCATAGCTAAGATATGGCACAAGGCCGAAAGTATGGGGCACCCAGTGAGGATCAAACTCACTATTCAATCGTAATTGTTCTAGCGAGACAAGCTTGTTAACCATTACCCTACGTCGAAGTGCTCGACGGGGATTTTCTAAGAGTAGCTTTGATGTGGCACAATGCCGAACGTATGGGGCACCCAGTGAGGAACAAACTCACTATTCAGTTGTAATTGTTCTAGCGAGACAGGCTTGCTAAACATTACACTAAACCGAGCTGTCTCGTGATTTTCTATGCGTAGCTTAGATGTGGCACAAGGTCGAAAGTGTGGAGCACCCAGTGAGGATTGAACTAACTACTCACTGGTAGTTGTTCTAGTGAGACAAGCTTGTTAACCATTACACCATTTCCAGGTTCCCCTGTGTCTTTATATATGTAATCATGTCTTATAAGGCAATAATGGCAATCGTATTTTGACGCCAGATGTGTTTTAAGCGCGGTTGTTTTTACTGACTGGTTGATTCTTTTTACGGTTTATCAACCCGTTGCAGGTTATTTAAATCCAGAAAATATTTTTAGGTTGTAAGGATTTTTTTGAGATAATAATGATTTTAGTGATACATCTTACTAATTAACCCATAGCTGGGGGAAAAGCAGTGGATTCAAGTCTAATCAGAATATTTTTAGATTGTAATTATTTTTAGGAGATAGTAATGATTTACATTATATAAGTCCTACTAAGTAATCCATACTTGGTCGGTAGAAGAGGTTGATTGATCTTTTTCCCATGAGCACTTGCGCGTAAGTGAATATAACGAACCCAACTGGAATTGGAACTCGGCTCGCCGGTTAACAATTCTGAGCCATTATCCATTACACCATCCACACATCCAAGCTTACAGCACCTGGTATTTCCAAGTGGTCACCCATCTAGGTACTGACCAGGCTCGACATTGCTTAACTACGTTGATCGTAGGGGAATTGGTGTTTCAACGTGATATAACCGTAAGTTCATGTATATGTTGGGTAATGATTTAGATTATTTCTGAATGCTTCCCACCGACTATACCACTACTCCATGACGACTCTCCTTCATTTCCTATAGAAATAAAATAAATACTTTACATAGATTGGAAAAAAGATGATTTAAGACAGAAATTTGTAATTGCTTGAACGGTACTAACTCTGTATCTTGTATGTTATAAGTAGAAAATCAGGAAGAAAGGGATTGTCAGTGGTCAGGAATGAAGGCAAGCATTACTGATAGAATAGGGCTATTATATGTACAGAGTAAATGCATTGCTAATGATTTTACTATAGGAATACATTGAAAAAGAGCAAGAAAGAGGTTGTCAGTGGTTAGGAATGAATGCAAGTATTACTGATAGAATAGGGCAATTATATGTATAATGGAAATGCATTGCTAATGATTTTACTATAGGAATGCATTCAAAATGAGCAAGAAAGGGATTGTCAGTGGTCAGGAATGAATGCAAGCATTACTGATAGAATAGGGCAATTATATGTATAATGGAAATGCATTGCTAATGATTTTATTATAGAAATGCATTCAAAATGAGCAAGAAAGGGATTGTCAGTGGTCAGGAATGAATACAAGCATTACTGATAGAATAGGGCAATTATATGTATAATGGAAATGCATTGCTAATGATTTTACTATAGGAATGCATTCAAAATGAGCAAGAAAGGGATTGTCAGTGGTCAGGAATGAATACAAGCATTACTGATAGAATAGGGCAATTATATGTATAATGGAAATGCATTGCTAATGATTTTACTATAGGAATGCATTCAAAATGAGCAAGAAAGGGATTGTCAGTGGTCAGGAATGAATACAAGCATTACTGATAGAATAGGGCAATTATATGTATAATGGAAATGCATTGCTAATGATTTTATTATAGGAATGCATTCAAAATGGAAAAGAAAAGGGATTGTCAGTGGTCAGGAATGAATATGAGCATTACTGATAGAATAGGGCAATTATATGTATAATGGAAATGCATTGCTAATGATTTTACTATAGGAATGCATTCAAAATGAGCAAGAAAGGGATGTCAGTGGTCAGGAATGAATACAAGCATTACTGATAGAATAGGGCAATTATATGTATAATGGAAATGCATTGCTAATGATTTTACTATAAAATGCATTCAAAATGAGCAAGAAAGGGATTGTCAGTGGTCAGGAATGAATACAAGCTTTACTGATAGAATAGGGCAATTATATATAATGGAAATGCATTGCTAATGATTTTACTATAGGAATGCATTCAAAATGAGCAAGAAAGGGATTGTCAGTGGTCAGGAATGAATACAAAGCATTACTGATAGAATAGAGGCAATTATATATAATGGAAATGCATTGCTAATGATTTTACTATAGGAATGCATTCAAAATGAGCAAGAAAGGGATTGTCAGTGGTCAGGAATGAATACAAGCATTACTGATAGAATAGGGCAATTATATGTATAATGGAAATGCATTGCTAATGATTTTACTATAGAAATGCATTCAAAGTGAGCAAGAAAGGGATTGTCAGTGGTCAGGAATGAATACAAGCATTACTGATAGAATAGGGCAATTATATGTATAATGGAAATGCATTGCTAATGATTTTACTATAGGAATGCATTCAAAATGAGCAAGAAAGGGATTGTCAGTGGTCAGGAATGAATGCAAGCATTACTGACAGAATAGGGCTATTATATGTATAATGGAAATGCATTGCTAATGATTTTATTATAGAAATGCATTCAAAATGAGCAAGAAAGGGATTGTCAGTGGTCAGGAATGAATACAAGCATTACTGATAGAATAGGGCAATTATATGTATAATGGAAATGCATTGCTAATGATTTTACTATAGGAATGCATTCAAATGAGGAAGAAAGGATTGTCAGTGGTCAGGAATGAATACAAGCATTACTGATAGAATAGGGCAATTATATGTATAATGGAAATGCATTGCTAATGATTTTACTATAGGAATGCATTCAAAATGAGCAAGAAAGGGATTGTCAGTGGTCAAGAATGATTGCAAGCATTACTGATAGAATAAATCTGTCAATTGGCCAGATAGAAGAGTAACATTATACCTAGAATACATATTATTATCTAATATTTTTTAATATATTTTTTAATATATTTTTAATATATGTATAATATAAAAAAAATTGAAACTTGTCTATTGTTTATCCACCTTGACTGATTATTTAAAAGAAGCAATTTTTAGTTTAGTTTCAAATAATTTTTCATCGAGTTTCTGTGTGTTGTAACGAATTTGAAGAAATAGATTTTGATTATCTAGTGAATACACAATAGAAGAAACATTTCCAATCTGGCGCCATCTTTAAGTTTCTCCAACTTTTGAATCTAATCCCCGAGAATTTTCATTCCAGACAAAATTGTTCTTAACGATTTCACCCGTCAATAATTATTTTACCAGGGGAACAATTTTACAAGTGGACAGTTTAGACAATTTGGAGGCCGGAGACTCAAAGAGATAATCATGGAAAGAGTGACCATTGCGTTTTGGTTACTTCGCAGTTAAACTAAATGTGAAGTCAAATCGAAGAAGGGAAGAAAGTCTGGTCGCGTGAGGTTTCAAATCGTGATTTTGATGCCTGGGGACAAGGACCTCGTTTGCTAGGATTGTAGGGCGATGTTGAAGAGTAATCGGCTGCCCCGAGGCCCTGGGGCCATTGGACATTGACCAGTATTTCCTGATTTCGGTTGCCGTGGACGAGTGGTATTCGCCGTTGTCTAATTTGTTTTTCTTGTCCCGGCCTCGGGTTGCTTTTTAAATATTTTTCTTTCTTTCTTTCTTTCTTTCTTTCTTGCTTTCTTTCTTTCTTTCTTTCTTTCTTTTCCTTATATTTTCTTTCATTTTAATTCTTTATTCACTTTGCCAGACATTCTCGCCTTCATTACACTTTCTTTCTTTCTTTCTTTCTTTCTTTCTTTCTTTCTTTCTTTCTTTCTTTCTTTGCCAGTCGTTCACGCCTTCTTTCTTTCTTTCTTTCTTTCTTTCTTTCTTTCTTTCTTTCTTTCTTTCTTTCTTTGTCAAACGTTCATGCCTTCACTGTTCTTTCTTTCTTTCTTTCTTTCTTTCTTTCTTTCTTTCTTTCTTTCTTTCTTTCTTTCTTTCTTTCTTTCTTTCCTTATATTTTCTTTCATTTGAATTATTTATTCACTTTGCCAGACATTCTCGCCTTCATTACACTTTCTTTCTTTCTTTCTTTCTTTCTTTCTTTCTTTCTTTCTTTCTTTCTTTTGCCATGTCATTCATTTCCTTCTTTTCTTTCTTTCTTTCTTTCTTTCTTTCTTTCTTTGATTTCTTTCTTTCTCTTCACTAATCCTATTCTTTTCTCTCTTTTTTCTTCTTTTTCTCCTTTTTCTCTGTTTTCCTTCTTCTTTCACCCTTTCTACTTTTCTCTCTTTTTTTCTTTACCTCTTCCTTAAACCCCAATGTTACTCTCTCTCTCTCTTTCTAAATTACTCTCTACCCAACATATCTCCCTTTTCATCCTTTTCCTTTGGTAAAAGATACACAAATACATTTGAGATGAAACATATGCATATATATCGGAAGAGTCATTTTTGGTTAAAATTTTACACCGACACGCAAATCAGCGGGATTTAGATATTAGACATGTAAAATATATCTCATAATATATCTTATATGTAAAATCTCCCTCTCCCCACTCTCTCTCTCTCTCGCTCTCGCACGCACACCACACACACACACATTAAAAGTCTCAATCACTACTTCACTTTCTTAATGTGTTTCTTTCTCTCTCTCTCCCTCCCTCTCCGATTCTGTTTATTTCAATCTTTAGTCTTCGTTTTTCTTAAGATTTCTTGCTGTTTATTTTCCAGTTAATTATTATTATTATTATTATTATTATTGATGTTGTTTTTGTTGTTGTTGTTTCCTTTGATTTTTGTTGTATACTCATTTCCTTCCGGGGCCCAATCAGAGACCTAAGGTCAGAAATGGCATCATGATATTTTTCCTGAACATTTTTGTCAAAAAAAAACAACCCCAAAAACAAAAAACAAAAAACAAAAAACTACAAATAATAGAACTTAAGATCATATATATATATATATATATATATATATATATATATATATATACATATATATAGTTAATTAAAACTGGGCTATTTATTCCTTCAATGAGTCTATATGAAACAGAGGGCCGCAACCTCAACTGAAGTTATTGATGTCCTCATGAGCCACATTTTTGAGATTTCCACATCAAGATCCTTGTATTTTGATAGTTCATCAAAAATACATTACAATCTGTTAGGAACTGCCATGTCAGTTCTTCTTCTTCTTCTTCTTCTTCTTCTTCTTCTTCTTATTCTTCTTTTTATTTTTATTTTTTTTCTTTACTGTTCTTTCTATCTTAGTTTGTTCACTTATCTATTTATTAAGGTGCAAAAATAATGACGTAATAATGTCGTTTTTGACGTATTTTTTAACGTCAAAAAAACGACATTATTACGTCATTATTTTTGCACCAACCTAATATCTATCTATTAATCAATTGATTATAAAGATTCTATCTATTATCAATCTATCTATTTTGGACATATTTCAGTCTGCATAAACCATCTATTCAATAAAAATTATCTATCTATCTATCTATCCTATCTATATATCATCTATAGATGAAATTTTGTTCATAAACTATCTATTTATATTCATCTATCTATCTATCTATCTATCTATCTATCTATCTATCTATCTTCTTAGTCTATTCGGATTCATTTATTTATCTATCTATCTATCTATCTATCTATCTATCTATTATCTATTTTTCTATCTATTATACTATTCTATTATTTTATCTATCTATATCTATCTATCTTTAATTTCCGTCTTTCTATCTTAAACTATCTATCCTTTTTTATTATCTATTAAAAAATTATTATCTATCCTTAAATTTATTTCTATCTATCACAAATTTGTAAGTAT